GGGCTTCCTTTTTTTTTTTTTTTTTTTTGGAGAGGTTTTGCTATAGGGCGTGTACGCTCACCAGACAGACAGAGAGAGACAGAGAGACAGAAAGTGAGAAATCACCCCCCAGAGGGGATGGCCACGCCACAATCTCTTCTCCTCTATTCTCCTCTTGGGATCTTGGGCACGCATGCACACACGCCCGGCATGAGTTTTAAGCCACCGGATCCGGGACTCAAACCACGGTCAACTACATGGGAGTCCAGCAACAGCCATTATACCAACTGCTGATCCTGAGGGTGAATCTTAAGCAAGAAGAGAGAGCTGGTAGTTTGTAATCAAAGTCAGCTAGTGTAAAGAGAAAAGCATGTCATCTGGGTCAGAGAAGTTGGGTTTATATCTCAATTCTATAATTGGGGAAGGTCACTTAACCTCTCAGTTTCAATTTCTTCATCCTCAACTAGTACTAGCTACATAGAAAATATTCAATAAATATGAGCTTCCAATATCCTACTCTCATAGGATTCTTGTAATTAATTGACTCCGTGTTAAGTAAAATTTCTCTGTGAACTCGAATGTACTGCAAAGTATTAATTACTGTTTTTCCTGTCACCTGCTCATTAAACATAGAAATACCAGGCATAGGCAATAACCTTCATTCAGTGATTTTCCAAGGACCCCTGCTCCTGTATCTGCACTTTTTTTCCCCCTGGCTCAATACATACTTCTCTTCCTCTCACAGTTGTGATGGGCCACTCAGATTTCCTCTTCTCCATTGCCAGCCTCAGTCTTGTCCATTCAGCTCTGCCTTCTTTAAGTACCTGCAAGGACTGATAATAAATGTTGCCCTTTGCAGCCTTGCTCTCTGCTTTCTCCATGATTTCTCTACTCCTGTCTGCAATTTCTGTCTCCCAGCATCTCCACCATCTTCACCAGTGGGAAAGATCATTTGATTAAGTGGGTGATTACAATTTCTAAACAGGTTTTGTCAGACTGGTTTCTGTAGCTCAGGTCTGCTTACCTTTTATCAGATCTAAGATCTTCTAAATGTTTTCCATTTCCTTCAGGATAAAGTTAGACTCATTGGCATGAAAAGTTCTTTATGTTCTAGTACCTGTCTTTTCAGTGACACCCTTAATCCCACACTTATCTAGTGAATGATAATTATTTATTCCCAGTTTCACACACCCTAAATACCATACTGATCTAGTGAGTGATAATTATTTATTCCCAGTTTCATTTCAAAAAAAATGTAAGAGGTACATTGTTTTTGCATACACCAACTCCAAGCACTCCTCTTCCCTACCTATGCACCCTTTAGGTTCAGCTCAGGTTTTACCTTCTCTAGAAAATTTTCTCTTTGGGTTATCATAGCAATTCTATCATGGCCATATCATGTTCTATATAGTTTTCTATTGCTGTGTAATAAGTCACCACATGCTCAACGGCTGATGACAGCACACTTTTATTATTTCAGTTTCTGTTTGTCTGAAGTTCAGCTTAGCTGGATCCTCTGCCCAGGATCTCATAAGGCTACATTCAAGGTGTCAGCTAGTCTGCATTCTCTTCTGGAGGCCCGACTGAGGGAGGGCATGCCTTCGGCCAGTAAAATTGTCAACCAAATTTATTTTCTTCTGGCTTTATGACTACACACCCTGGCTTCTGGGTATATGCTAGAGGTTGCCCCAGCTTCTAGAAACTGCCCGTAGTTCTTTGTCATATGGGCTTTTATAATGTGCCCTCCTACTTCATTCAGCCAGCAAGGTATGTCTTTAGAGCAAGTCTGATAGCAAGATGGAATCTAATATAATGTAATATAACCATGGGTGTGAGCTCCCATTACCCTGTCATACGTAGCTGGTTAGAAGAAAGTCACAGGTCCCACCCACACTCAAAAAAGAGGCGAGGACACAAAGGCGTGAACACAAGGGAATAGGGATTCTGAGAAGTCACTTTAGAGTTGTCTGCCACACATGCTCTGGGGTCATAGTTTCTTTACTACCAGTCTCCTTCAACAAAAAGTGAGCTCCTTCAGGGAAAGGACAGCTTCTCGATTCACCAAAGCACAGTGCTTGGCATATAGTAGGTATTTAATGTTCTTGAATAAGTGAGTGATTGTATGAGAGCATGAATTAGAGCTGTCAAACTTATAGCAGGCTTGTGATTTGGGGAAAAAAAAGAGTAACAAATCCATGATGAGTAGGAAAAAGATGAGTGAGTACGCTGGAAGAGGAAACATTTTAAGGACTATCCAGAAACTTAATAGCTCTCCAGTGCTAAGCTTCATCTTCTTTGAAAATGGGATAGACTATTCTTTCTGTCTACTCGAGAGACTACACCTAAGAACTTATGTTATTATTCAGAAATTTTCATTCTTGTTCCAGCTCCATGGGCAAAATGTGTTTTCTTGGCCCTTGACATTGAACTTTTCCCCGGGACTCTTTGTTTTAATTGCCACTGTGTGCTTGCCCAGAGAAAGATAGACAAGGAGTGAGAGAAAGGGAGAAAGCACCCCCTCCCTGGGTTGCGGTCATGCTGTAATTCCTACTCCATTCTGTTGGGATTTGGGGTACACACATATATGCAACATGTTTTTTAAGACTTTGGGACAAGATTTGAACTGCAGTGGCTGTATGAGGTCCACCTCATTTTACCACTAGGATGTAGAGTCAGCCAAGGACTCATTTTGATAAACAGAACATTAGTAGGTGTGATGTGACCAGGTTGGAAAAAGGTTTGTGTGATTTGACTTGCTCTTTTTTGTCTTCTCACAAGAGCATGCCTGGACTAACTAACCCTCTGATCACAGAAAAAGATGTGAGGTAGGGTCAAGCTTTCTTAGCCAAGTTTCCTAGCCATTTCTCAGCCAAGTAAGTCAACCTACATCTGATTTACAGTCTTGTGGCCTAAACACTTACGTTGTATGTCACTAAGATTTCGCAGTTGTTCATAATGTAACGATAGTGAACTTAAATGGGATAGCAAAAGGAATTATGACTCATGAAAGGGATAGGTCTGTGTTCCTCTTTGGCAGACATCATTAACGTGTCAGTTTCCCATAGGAAAACCTCACCCTGGATTTAGGAGATGGGAGAGAAGTGGCCACTATGCTTGTGAATTCGTTTATCCCAGGCATGGTGGTTTCCTCAGACACACCAACATGTTGCACCTCTTCACAAAGTCCCACTTCACAGACATGGTGGTGTCACAAATATCTCTACGAACTCCATTTTTGTCCCACTTCGGATGCCTAAATGTGTGTATCTCCTTGTACTTCGTGAACTAGTAGTTTCACACCCATGTAGCGCACCAAGATAAAGTAGATAGTGATTGTTTTTCTAAACCTCCAGCTATAACGTTTTACAGTTTCACTCCACTAGGTCCTCTCACACCTGGATAATCCCAAATTCCTATATTAAAGCCTCCCTCTTCTATTACTTGCGGTGGCTCTGTGGTCCTAACTGAACACAAACAGATAATAGTAGTGAAGAGAAATAAACCATTTGGAAATAATCAGAGCCACCAATGAGCATAAACTTCATTATCTTTATGAAGTTATTTTAAGATTAAAAAAAATAAGAAGAAGCAGAGTTTCTAGGACCCATCCTGAGAAAGGCATACAAAATATAGGCAATTAGAATTTGTGCTTTCAGGGACCAGCAAATGGCATAATGGTTATATCACCTGACTCCCACAAAGTTATAGCAGTTCGCATCTGAGACCTGACCAGCTTAAAACTCATGCCGGGTGCATGTGCGTATATGCCCAAAATCCTGAGAGGAGGATGGAGGAGATTATGGTGCAGCCATCCTCCCTGGAGAGGTGATCTCTCACTTTCTCTCTGTCTGTCTGATTAGTGTACATGCCCTATAGCAAAAATCTCTCTCTCTTAAAAAAAGAATTTGTGCTTCCATATTTTGTTAACATAGGAACAAAGTCCTCACCTTTATATAGATTCAAGGTGTCTCAGGGAGATTTATAATACTTCAGTTTTTCTGGGGGGAAAAAGTAAACACACACACACACACATT